ATACTAGAATATACCTTGCACGTCGGGTAAATGAACTTGGAAGCCACTGAAATTGACCGATATACCGTCTACACTGCGTGTTCACGCCCAAGGCGTCCTGCACGTATGAAAGAAAGTGTCTTGGCCACAACACCGGCAGATGTAAGGATCATTCCCAATTTGGCAGATGCTGATGAGTAGCGAACGACAATAGCACCATGGAAGGCAAGTGGATGTCTCCTTGCCGGCGCAGATCTTGAGGTATCGCTTGAGGTCATGGCCTTCTAGTAGCAGACATCACGCTTGTCCTGCCGGTTATCGAGAGGTGTCTGCACATGGAGCTAGCTGCTCTCTTCATCGTAGACGTGACACTTATCAGACTCATATGAGTCTCATTTACCTTCTGTCCTGAGAGATACATGTTGGCGGTGCCTGAGAAACCCATCTCTCGGACATATTCTTTCCTCAAGCGCCCTGAAAAAACGAACGAGGAAATCCCGCATGTGCTCACTATGACTACCCGTACTTACGGATTTCCAATTCATCCTGTTCGAGGCTGACAGGGGCGAATCGTATGTCTAACCCGGCCATATTCTTCTATCTCCCGTCATGAGAAAACCGAGATGTGCTGCAACTCCCCGGTAGAGATTACACTGCAGTAAAACATACTCCAGAGAGTTACGATGCTAAAACGCCCAGATACAAGGGGTAAGTAACGACTCCAAGGATGCAGGGAGACGAGATCCTGTGGGTGGTAGGGCTATGTTGTGCCACTAAGATCGTGGGCCATCCCGTGAGGGTAACCGATATAGGCGCAAGCCAGCGACACGGAATGCCCAAGCTTGAAGAGTAATTTCTATTTACTAACCCTCAAACCCCTGGCAACGTGGGGTTCCATCTCCTGTGCCTGCGTTTGGCATTCAATCCGTCATTTGAAGGCACGTGTCACTGTTGCAATTATATTTTGACGTGCTCTGCTCGGCGACAGGAATGCCTTTGATCATGAGTTAACGTTTCTTGCTTACACAGGAACTTCTCCGCCCCCATAGAATTCTGCGTGCAGTGGGTTTGATCTACGCGCTAGCAAAAACCAAAAGGAATTCAATAGCATCCATCCATTATCGGATAGTCTAACTGCGTAGAACTAGCACTAAAGGCCTACAGAATTAGGCCAGCGTAAACCAGTAATGGGAAAATCTCTAGCCACTAATCCCACTATGTTCGCCACACAAAGCCTCAACCGGTCATTGGTTGTCAACGAGGCAAGGGTCTCAAAAGTTATTCTGGCTTGCTAGCATTGGGAAAGTGTCGGAGAGGGGCGGGAGCAAAGAAACAACACGGAATTTTAGAGAAGATGAGGGACTGATCGAGACGAACAGCCAACGGTATGGACCAACAAGAAAGTACCGGGATCATAGTCCATGCAGATTTATATTTAAGGTCTAATAGATATTGCTGTGCGCGTCGACAGCAATTCGTCTGTGTGTATTGTATTGTTTCTCCAGACTGTACCGTACCAAATACAGGGAGAGCGAAAGCCGAATACGCGGTCAACCGTGGAAAGTGGGGTGGAATTGCCATTACCCGAGATTGCAACCAATGACACGCTAGATCGTGTTACATCGGCCTTTCCAGGTGTAAGTTTGTTCTTTACCTTTCCGTGAAGGCGGCCACCAACGTACGTCAACTGACACGACCAAGGTACTATAGTAGTAGTGAGAACCATGAAGATAATACCAATCAGTCGCCATTATGAGGGTGTCTCCGCTAGTATGGGGTTCAGAGCTGACTACATACCTCAACCAGGCATATTACAAACCAGAAATCATCCAATTCCCATTCTTCAGGGTATTTTACACTGCGCGGTTTGACCTGCCGTATATATCATAGACACAAACAAGATGAACCACCAAGCGCACAAATACGGGGCGCTTGACGGCTCGATTCCAACATGAACATAAAGGGCGGATACATGCTCGAGCCCCGCATTCGTAGGACTTAGTAGGTGGATTACCCCGGAAGCATTAAGGTTTAGCGGATCGCTTCCCCGCTTCCAATGCCAACCTCCTTATATCATCAACCTCGAATTAGGTAGTGCCTACCAGCCTTTTCCTTTCGGACCACCTCACTCTGTAATGGCCACATTTCGTTGGGACTTCACCAGCAACGTCGAGCATCGGAAGCCTCACCCACCCCATCGACCGAAAGCAATGGGGAGAAAACCTCAAGCGTGCGTGCCTTGCCATGAGCGCAAGGTGCGTTGTGATGCGGCAAGGACGGGGATACCGTGCTCCAGATGCGTCATTTGTAAGCGGGCAGATAGCTGCATTGCTGTAGCGAACGGGGAGAAGAGTCGAAGGTTCCATGTGCCTTGACGATCGACAGCGTTGGGATGCTGATATGAACTTCAGAAAGCCAAAGAACACCCACGGTCAAGTTCCTACTCAACGCCAACAGTCAAAGGCGGCTGAAGGCGACCTACGAAGTCATGCTTTCAATTCGACCCCGTCGATAAATCATGCCAATGGCTCCATCACGAATCACGCGACTTTAGGGGCAGATCAGAGTGACGGGCGACCGGTCAGTCATCTCAGAAATATCTCGGATTCATTTCCCACACTGACGATCATCTCAGCCAACACTGGTACCCACAAGACCACCCGAGATGTCGTTCACGACGCAAACAAATCTTCCTCCCTTGCAGGAACCACTGCCTCACCGTTCGCCGTCGTCCGGGGTCAGTGCCCGAGAGGAACAATCAGCAGAATTGCCTAATGAGCAGCAGATGCGTGACGATTCGCCTGATCTAGCCCGATTGAATGGTTCATCACAGGTTGAGGAAGGAGAAGCAGACTATCATGAGGGCATCAGTTCCATTTATATCCTTAGTGAGGCTCTCGGGTGCTCGACTTCGAATAACTTGGCGGAAAGAATCCTGCGAGAAAGCCCTGGGGGGGTATCCGAATTAGATGACGTTGATTCCGCCTATTTGAGACACAAAGGAGTGTACAATATTCCTGTCTCAGCCGTGTGGTAAGTCACCAACTCTCGGGGTCCCCCAATAAAAATTTTAATCCACGGAATGAACAGTGATCAATTAATTCGGCTATTTTTTGACCGAGTCTACGCGTATGCTCCTGTGTTTGATCGTGTCAGATTTACCAGGGATTATCGACAGCAGAAACCTTCCTTGTTTCTCCTCCACGCTATTCTTGCCAGTGCCATTCCCCATGCCTCCATTGAATTATTGCATGACGCTGGGTTTGACGATCATATCACGGCTCAAAGGTGCTTCTTCACCCGGGCAAAGCTACTGCATGACGTGGGAGGCGAGAAGAGTCAAGTCCGGATTCTCCAAGGCTCACTATTCCTCGCCATGTCCCCTGTGTCCCGTGACATGGAGAAGGATCACCGCTACTGGATTTCAAACGCTGCTCGCATCGCGATCCGGCTGGGCCTGCATCGAAGCAGGACTGCAAGCAACTTTGATCCGGACTCGCGGAAAATCTACCGTCGTATCTGGTGGGTTGTATACAGTTGGGATACGCTGTTGGCCCTGCATGGACTGGAAGCCGTGCGCTCGTTTCAACACGGCGAATTTGACACTCCGACTCTCACGAAGGATGACTGGGGGGAGGAAAATATCTCACCAGACATCGAAGACCTTCTTCGCCCTATTCCAGAGTTACACAAGTCTTTTCTCATCGAAAGCTGCAAACTTCAGTTCGGTGGTATGTATTTCCAAGCTCCCTCGATTGACAACTCTTACACTAACTACTGGGAACAGTTGGCCGATTCTGGAAGGATTTTATTTCGTCAGAGTCTGGCTCTGCAGTTGAGCAAATCAGAGACTTCATGGCATCCTGGCGTCGCTCGCTTCAAGAAGGCTTAAAAGTATCCGATGTGCAAGATTGGAATGAAAGTAACTTTTGGGCCCTGTACCTAAATACTAGATGTTACGTTTGCGAATGCGTCATTTATCGAATGCTTCGGAGCCACCTACGCCCATCGAAGAATGCCCTGTACCAGCTCGCAGATAAGAACCTAACGAGCGCCATGTTTGAGCTGGATGTTATGCTAGGTCGAATATCAGCCAATCGAATGGCTCAATATTGCCCATGGTTTGTGTACGGCCCCCCAAGTTCTTTACCTATGAATACACATTTGCTAACGGCATCCAGGTACACCTGCGCTTGTACTGCACTAGCACTGCATATAGAGAAAGCGGTAACGACTCCGGTCAGCACTCATGAAAAATACCTCAATATCTTCCGAATCCACAGCGAGTTGGAATTTCTGCGTGAGCTTTCCAAAATGTCGTCACTGAACAAATCGTCACTGCAAATGTTTGAAAAGATTATTCGTACCACTGGTCTCTGCATATCGATGTCTGAAGCCTCGACCCCATCCGGCCAGGAATTAGAGAGTGAGTTTGTTTTCAACCCTCCCTCGGAAACTCCAAGACGATACGCGCTACAGACAACGCAGGGACTGTGTACGGGCGACTCGGAATTTGCTCTCGGGTTGAATATTCCGGACTTCGAACTGCCTTTTGACTTCCAATTCGGCCCTCTTGGCCTAATGATATGGTCAACGACCTAGTTGGCTCGATGGATATTGATACTGGTCAAGACTTTCATGGCATCCTGCCATGAATTTTGCTCCTTCTTTCTGCATAGCGAGGGAGGTCATGTGGGAAATAGAAGCACAGGGTAGTGATTTCCTGGCCGCATTCCAGAACGAGAATATTGTATAACGCATATGCCGCTGTCGCCGGGTTGAACATTTGTAGCTGCTGGGGTGTCGACTGGCGTAATCTGGGCTTCCTCCTTGAACCAATCTTGATCCACGGTTTACTTACGAAATATCTATATCTCGATATTAATATTGTGAGATGCCATCGTCGAGGATGGTAGTTGGGATAATGCTGGAGAGAGCGTTTAGATCAGTGTTCGCCGACACTGCGTGGTGTATTGCTTTCAGCTTTGGACTCAGTAGACCAATCCTCAGGGTTGAATTTGTAGAGGCCTCAAATACAGCGCATTCCGGGGTATCCTAAATGGGCCAAAGTGATTGATATATTCACGTCAGTTCATTGCTGGTCTATCGGTGAACTCAATTTACCCGATTGTTAGAAATTGAATTTATTCGGCTTTCTTTATCCTTTGGTTCTTGATTGCTTTCGGTATAATATTCAGTGATAGGAGAAAACAGGCTTGAAAAATAAGCCGTGGAGGATCTTCGAGTGATGTTCTGTAGAATGAAGTAAAATATGTTAAGGCCGGTAATTGTAGAACCTTTGCCGACTCGGTTACTTTTTATGTTTCACTTGATATCTGACGTAGGAAGTAGTATAGATCTAGAAGCGAGAATATTGAATCCCTAAACGAGGAATGAGTAGAGATCCATGTCTCGTCATACGGTTCGCTGGGAAGTGAATGAAGGTAATTGACGCTGATCAACACGCACGCACTGCTCGCAATTAAGTCCATATAGGTTTCAAAACAGCATTCAGGTCCAGAATATTATAGCCTTCATTTAACCCAAGAACCAATTCTGGGTTTACCGCTCTCCCCCTAACTTACCGGAAACGGAGTCATGGCCGAAGAGCTAACTTCGTTGCATGTTTGTCAATTGCCGACGGCATTGGTATAGAGTTAACAATATTTTGGTATTCCTTTATGCGAATATAAATTTTCATGGTTAAAGCTTCTCTTGGTCGAAGTTGAATTGACAAGTGAGACTTGAATATAAATATGCGCCTGCCCATCACTACCTGACTCGCTACTCAAGGTCGTTTCTCCGCATCAAATTTTGGTACTTCAAAATGAAGTCATATTTTGGACTGAAAGGATCCAGATTGCGATACGCAATCTGGATGGAGGCTTGCTTTGCGGTCATGATTTTTGGCTATAATTCCGCAAGCGCTGGTGGTGTGCTAGGGCTGCCAGGTTTCAACAAGCAATTCCCTGCTATGGACACTACCAACGTACCGGAGGACCGAAGGCAACATAACTCTACAATACAAGGTATGCCACAGTGACTTGAAGTCGGGAATGACATCCATTCACTGAGAGATAGGCACGGTGGTTGCATTGTTCACACTTCTTGGGGCCTTTGGGGCTTTATCTTGCATCAGCTTCGGAGACCGTCTGGGCCGAAAGCGAACTATTTTCATCGCCAGCGCTATCCAAGCCGTCGGGGCTATCCTGCAGGCGTCTTCCTTCCAGCTGGCTCAGTTCATTGTCGCTCGTATCATTCTCGGGCTCGGCACCGGAGGCTTAGTCGCGACGATTTCGTTATGGCAATCGGAGCTGGTCAAAGCAGAGAGCAGAGGTCGTCACGTTTCTGCATTTGGTATATTCGCTGGCATGGGCACCTCTGCTGCACTATGGATTAGCTTTGGCATATCCTTTGCCCCGGAATCGTCGGTCAAATGGAGATTTCCCCTCGCATTCACAACGCTCCTCTCCGTCGTCGTCTGTGGGTTCATTTTTCATCTCCCGGAAAGCCCTCGCTGGCTTTGTAAGGTGGACCGGATTGAGGAAGCGAGGGGCGTGCTGGCCGCTCTCTACGACGAAGATACCCATTCCGAGTCAGTTGATCAGATCATGCGAGACATCCTCCTCTCCCTCCAGATGTCCGAGAACAAGAGCCTTCAGTCGCTGCTCGATATGAAGCCACAACGAAATCTCCAAAGGCTCATCCTTGCTGCAACCGTCCAAATGCTGCTGCAACTGACTGGCATCAATGCAATCACCTATTATGCACCGACGATCTACTCGAAGCAGCTTGGATTTCCTCCCCGTCAGGCATTTGTATTGGCTGCTGCTTCTCAGGCAGTCTTCATCATTGGATCTTTCGTGTGCGCTTATACGGTCGACCGGTTCGGTCGCCGAAAGCTGCTGCTGTCTAGCTCGATAGGTCTTACGATTTGCATGGCCTGCCTCACTGGTGTGGTCTCGAATCCAAATAACGACGCTGCTCTTCGGTCAGGGGTATTCTTTTTGTACCTTTTCTATTTCGTGGCCTCTCTTGGCTATCTTGGGCTCCCGTTTCTTTATGCCAGTGAATTGGCCCCAGTGCACCTCCGAGCCCCGGTGTGTGGGATTTCTACCGCGACATCTTGGTTTTTCAACTTCCTGGTTGCAGAAATCACCCCTGTCGCTATCGAAAGTATTGGCTATCGGTACTTCATTCTCTGGTGTGCAACAAACGCAGCCGCCATTCCTATTGTCTACTTCTTCTTCCCTGAGACAGCGGGAAGATCGTTGGAGGAGATTGAAGAGATATTTAGATCATCCAAGACGGTTCTCGAAGCGGTTCATCTGTCCAGGACGATGCCGAGGCTCAGTCTGTCGGTTCTTCATGAGGCGGCAAAGGAAACAATGGATATCTCACCAAAGTCGGATGAATTGGAGTAGCTTTTCCTAGGCAGTCTGTGTCAATGTGTTATTAAAGCCAAGCAGCAATTTGAAGAGGTCCAAATACTAGTTCTTGTCTCCGGAACGTTGATTGCTGAAGGATGGACTATGTTCGAGCGCAGATGTCTATGGTATACTTTGAAACCATTCTCTCTCCGTAGCCTAATTATTAGACTAACTCGATGTACAAACGCCTAAACTGCCATACATAGATAAATAGAGATATGATACGACTGTCTATAGTTGAATTAGAGCAAACAATGTTCGGAAGGAAGAATGGGTTGGCAGCCCTCTCCGAAGCGCATGCCCATAGACCGAGGCATTTGCGTAAGCCGAGCATTGATTTCCCGATCATTCAAAGAGGCTCGCGTGCGACGATAATGCTTTCTCGCAAATGTGCCAGATCGGGTCATAAATAGTCACTGGCGCCGTATATCGTTAAGTGGAGAGGTAGCTAGAAAGTCACACAGTAGTCGCTCCTGGTACTTAACCCTTCCCTTCTTTTGTCTTCCAACATTTGATCGCTTGGGAAATACCATTTTCCTCTAACCCTAGTGTCAGTGCTTGGTTTTCTTCTCGGCAATCTACAAGAAATGTTATCCATTCACTGGGGGGAGATACGGGCCCATCCATTGCTCACACTGAAGATCTTATGTCTTGCTGTGCTGCGGTCTACTTGCGTTTTGATTTGTGCCATCTTTTTTCCCGGGTCCCTCAAGCCTCTCTCGATTCGGAACTCGATTGCCAGAGCCTGGGTTGGGACTACTCTCTCAACACTGGGAAGCAGTTTGTATAGCGAGCCTCGAAATCACCGCGAGATTTTGATACGGAACAATGGCTTTGACGGATATGTTGTCCCATCGACAGATTCGTCCGACATACGAACTAGTGATGCGGTTATAATATTTGCACATGGCGGTGGAATGATATCGGGACATCCATTGCAATATCTAAAGACCTATCAACGGTGGGCGGCCAAAGGCCAGAGAAGTGGAAAGAAATTGGTGTTTGTTGCGGTAAAATATCGTGAGTGAAACGGTACTCTCTGGGCTCTAGACATCTGCTAACTCAATCTACGAGAGCACAGCTCTTTCAGTCTCTCAGAAATGGCCCGCACAGCGTGAATCAATGCTGGCAGCTTATCGCTGGGTCCTCCAGTGTGGAGCCTTACCCGAGCAAGTAGTTTTCGCAGGTGACTCCGCCGGAGGCAATCTCGCGATGCTCACCCTGCTCTATATTCGTGATCATGGAAAGACCTGCGGGCTTTCTCTGCCGAACTGCGCAGTCCTCATATCACCTTGGCTTGATATGACCGGTGCGAGGACCATCGGATCTCCCAATGTTCGCCACGATATTGTGTTGGAATATGATACGGCCGTTCCTATTTTGCTCGATGCGCTAAAGCCTTCTGACCTTCCTCCCGATACTCCAGAAATATCTAGCTTGCTCACCCATGACGTTTCTGGCTACCGCCACAACTGCTGATTTATGGCAGCACGGAGATATTGGCGAGTGACAGCCAAAGGTGGTATCAAAAGTGTATGAAAGCCGGTATCGAGGTCACAGAGGTGGCGATGGAGGGCGAGATGCACACATTTGCCATGGGATGGCCTATTTGCGGTCTTGAAATTCAGGCCAAGATGGATGAGATTATCTGCAAATTCATTCTGGATGCCGTCTGTTAGTCATCATATAGTATTTCTGAACCATGGAGAAAGCACGAGATAGAAGGATCCTCGCTGCAGGACTATGCATCTTCTTATTATTATATCTGCCTCTCACGCTAGATCAATGCGTAGCTACTTTCCCTAGGGCCCCCTCCAACGTGCTTGGATTTCTCGCCAGCTCAGGGTCTTCCCCTTTCCATTTTGGTGCTCGCCCTGAGCGGCCTCCGGCGATTGCTGTGGAGGTGAGTGTGCTCTGAGTATGCTAGCGTTAATAATATCGAGCCCTACTGGTGGGATCTTCATGACGGTTTCTTTCTGTGTAATGATATATCTCCCCCGGAGCTTAGTAACCTGAAGTTGCGTGGCCGATTCCGACGGTGTCATCCTGTTCGGGGCGTAGGAGTTTCAAACACCGCAAAAGCCGAAAACGCCGGAGAGCCCCAAGTCGCAAAATCGCAAAATCGCAAAATCGCAAAATCTGATGACACCAATAAAACGGAGGATGCGAGATTTCCCCAGTCTGATTGGAACCCAACTTTCAGTAAGGAAAAGTGATTATCCCTTCGATCCCCGTCTCATCTCTCACCGGAAACAATCCAACTGCGACTGAGTTGGAAGGCCCACCCGCAGGAGGACATGGCTACTAATCTGCAGGATCAATCCGACTGACAGAGAACCTTTCACGAAAAGTCGGATAGATTCATCGCAATCGCAGGAGTGTTCTTCATATCGGATAGATTTTCATCCGCCTCTTACCATGTAGCGATGGTGTAACACGCCCATCCACACGCAATCTATCCAGCCCGGCCGCCCAAGCCCTCTCTCTCCAAAACCAGCGGCGGAAACTACCCCAACGTGCTGCACAACAACTCCAAGACTGCGCAGATCTCCGTCATCAAAAGTCAGTATCCACAGCTCGCGGAGAAGATGAGTCTCGTGCAGATCGGCCACTACGTGACGAACTGGAAGATGTCGCTGCCGTTGGCGCCGCAGAAGCAATCTGATGGGGAGGGGGGTTCTCATTAAACGAACGTTTTTGCCTGGGTCGGTGATGCCGTTTGTCGTGACGCAGAAGGATACGGGGGCATTTGTTAAGGCCTTGGTGGTGGATCTTCCGGCTAGGACACACTCACTCGGGGTGTCGGAGTTGATAACCTGGCCGCAGTGGACGGAGCTCTGGGGGCAGGTCCATGGGGCTACAGCGTTTTTTTCAGCTGGTGTCCGAGGAGGAGTACTTCCACGGCGTTCCTGAGCCGTTGGCGGTGGAGTTGGCGGAGACGTTCAGGTCTGTGGATGAGTTTGGATATACAGGGAGTGATCCGGAGGTGCAGACGGCTAGTGAGGGAAGCTGAATGTTTTCGTTATGGGATATTGTTGTAATATGCCGGCGTTGATTAGCTTGGCGTTGAGATTGCTGTTACTCCGATGGCGTACATCAAGACGGAGGACTGGTCGTTCATTCTGTAGATCGGCTTTCTTGGATTCTATATCCTGTTTTGTCCGCGGAATATATGGGAGAGCCCATGATGTGAGTTATAGAGAGTCTTATTCTGATGAATAATATGCAATGTGTGCTTTCATTCGTCTCCTGGTATTTGAAGAAATTTACGATATTGTAGAAGAACAACTATGTGTAAAGGCATACATATATTTACCGGGACTTGATCCCTTCTATGTCAAAAGGCGTCAGTAAAGTGGGTGGTTTACTCCGGCTCCTGGTGCTGCTACTGGTCCCGCAACTCCTGGACATTAAACCCACACGCCTCCGCTTCGCTCTTACTTTTACCAGCGGGCTATGTCCGCAGCTTTCATTCTGGCCCAGGGGCTGGTGAAAGAGATTGCCTCTACACCGCAGCATTGGGTTGGGTGGCGACAGCATTCCGTCGTATCTCTTCCTCGGCCGTCTCCTGTATCGTCTGCAAGTGCTTCGCAGAAATAGCGGCATACTTGCAGCGCTTCCGAATATCTGCACCATATTTGTAAAATATGAATGGCAGTGGCATGCATGCCACCGAAACAAATGCAGGAATGGACGATGCCCAGTGAATCCCCAGTCCCTCATACATATACGTCGTGAACAAGGGGAATATGCCGCCGAAGCTATATCGTAGGATTGACATGGCGGCAATCACCGATGCGGCGTAGATGGTATAGGAGTCAATCAGGTAGTTGACAATACCCAAATAGATGAGTACCAGGCCAGAACCGAATGGAACCATGGCGGCCACACTGGCCATCCAATGAATGGAGGGCGAATTGGTCCATGCAAACCAGAAAAAGCCAATCGGAATGGTGACAGCAGAAACCATACAAGGCACCAGGCGCGCCTCCGGTGGCGCAAAGCCGTTAAACTTCTCCTGTGTTCGAACATACCGTCCATTGTCCAAAATCGCATAGCCCACGCCCGCAAACATTCCCACCATCACACCCAGGAAAGGTAGCCCCCCCACACCCGGATTCCAACCTCGTCCCTGCTCGTAGACGATGGGGAATGCCGCGAAGAGCATGTAAAGGGTACCGTAGATGACCGAGGCGTAGAAAGTGAAAAGGAGAACAATCGGTTCTCGACACAACAGCACCCATGGCCGGGAAAATACCGTCTTCAGACGGCTTGTCCACGCCACAGGTGATTTGCCCACGTCCAGCTTGCTCAGATAACATTTCCCTGTTTCACGCGATAACTTGGCGGCACGTTTGCGGAGGAGGACCGGCGCATAGGTCTCTGGCACTGAGATAGTGACCACTATCCATACCAGTCCAGCACATGCAGCCAAGAGGCCTTCCACCCACCGCCAACCCGCATTCATCGAGAGAAAGCCGCCGATCATTGGGCCAAGTGCAGGGCCTATATAATTAAATTCTCTTTGATCAGATTTCCAACGTTCTCATGTTCGCCGAGAAGGGAAAGGCAGACATACCCATGTAGGGGGTGGATGCAAACAAGCAAAGTGCCAATCCGCGTTGCCGCGCAGGAAACATATCAGACACGACTCCACCCGCATTGGTTAAGGGTGAAGAGCCAAATGTTCCGGCGAAAAAGCGAAGAATCAACAGGGTCTGGATATTGCGCGCCCCTGCACACCCTGCCAAAAAGGCAGCCATAGACAAAAATGAAATAAAAAAGGGGATTTGCCTGCCGATGCTTTCACTCAAGGGAGCCCATACCAGTGGTCCTACTGAGAACCCGAAGATAAACAGCGAGAGGCCCAAAGTGGCCACTTCGGTGCTTACTTCAAACCGACGAACGATGTCTGAGATACTGCCAGAGTAGGCGGACGAAGTCAAGGATACGATCAGGGTCGCAAAGGCCGTCACCAGTGTGATGGCCACCTTTTTAGCCATGCTGAATTGCAATGGGTTGCGGGGATCCTCGTTTAGCCACGATACAACAAAGGGGTCGTCTTTCGTGCCAGACCCAGGATAGTCGTATTCCACAATCTCCTTCGTGAGGACTTGGTGATCAGTCATGAGGCGCCAGAATGACATCTTCCGAGGGTAAGTACGCTGGGAAGCCCCAGGCACGCCGTTTGAGAGCCCACTATGCATCGTGGTCAACCGTCGTTCACTATTCAAGAACGTCTTGTCATATGCAGGCCAGGACGGGAAGGATGTTATTCTTGGGAAAGCTTGTGCAAGCCACAAGCATTCCTAAAAAGCATTTGATCGGCTAGTCGGCAGTGCCGATGCTAGAATAACCATACTGCATGGTGGTAATGCACCACGCATAATCCGGATTTCTGGTGCATATTAACCCATGTAGGGGGTGGATATACTGTTGGCAGTGGAGTGAGAATCTTGTTTATTACATGTGGTATTTACGGTAGACTAAATAGGCAATGTAAGATTCCTCACTGAAATCTTTTGGTTTTACGTAAAGCCACGCGCTTTCTAAGTCTATATACCACCGGCCCCTAAAATTCTACTAGGGCTTACAAATATTATTACTACTCCGTAGAATCTCAGAGAATCTAAAGATCTCATATTGAGCTTTTCCAAAGATATAGTACTGGTAGCCCCTAAAAACAGAATATTAATAGTCCCTAAAAAGAGGATATTAGTAATCCCTAAGAACGGGATACTGATAGTCCCTAAGAATAGGGTACTGGTAGTTGAAAATTTGAAAAAGACTTTTCTGAACAGTATACATACAAAGCGGTAAATAGTTAGCTCAAAATTGGACTAGTTAGTAATCCAGAAGTTTATTATAGAAAGAATAAATATAATTGGTTAATAAGTATAGTGGAATTCTATAATATATTTAATTGGTCAATAGAGTTGTGTGTTGATATTGGTTATGCTGGTAATATTTTACATTGTCCGGAACCTCGATTCGTAGTATTGCCAAGTATTTGCCGTGTTTCGGCAAATACAGTAGGTGGGACCATCGGTATTGATGTTCCCAGGGCCAATAAGACATTTAAAAAAGGCATATAAGGTTTGTTGTTTAGAAAAACAAGAATCAATAATTGAACGAATTACCTTACGTTCATATTACCCGAGAAACGGGTCGCTTATGCCGGTTCCACTTAATTGAGCTGACTGTTAGAACGAATCTTCATAATATAATGTCAAGGCTCTAATTGGGGATCATCTTCAGGCCTTCATTGATTGCTTGCCTCTAGCTATCTAAAACTATCTAAGCCTAGAAAGCTATCCTTTTGTGGGACCGCTTAGCGGCCGGAAGAACCCACTTTCCGGGCCAATCGGCTACCAGGCGGAATCCCCTAGCCAACATATAACCCAGAGGGCTGAGCGAAATATGATAATCGGGACGCTTCTATTAAAATATGTCACTGTAGCGTAGGGCCTAAACGGAATTCGCTGTCACCATATGAGCTCCGTTTGTGGGACCAAGTTATCGGTCGGGAGGGTTCTCAATTTGCGGGGAATGTACATCAGACCCAGGTTGGCCGAAGTCTACTCAGTATATAAGCATCCTCCATGACAGTTCAGTCCGTACACTGCCTACCTCCCAGCCTACAACGCCAAAAAATCTTACTCACCATGAGCCTTTCTTCAAAGATATTCGCTATCAGCGGAGGCACCTCTGGTATAGGTGCTGCCACTTCTCGCCTCCTCGCAAAAAGAGGTGCTGCGGCTGTTTGTATAGCGGACGTCACCAGTCAGAACTTTGCCAATTTGACGGAGTCGATCGCCAAGGTAAACCCCATGTCCATTGTACCGAAGTGGACTTGTCCTCTGTGACTGGCGTTAATAACTGGGTCGGAGATATCATCCATACCTTTGGCAACCTGCACGGCGCAGCAAATGTAGCAGGTGTGCCACAAGGCACCGGCATGATAAAAGCACCTACTATTGTCGAAGACTAGGACGCATAGAAATAGATATTTGTCGTCAGCCTCAATGGTGTCGCTCCTGTGGAACAGCCTAGGCAGCTAGCCAAAAATGTTATAGATTGGCTCAAAGTCGAGCATGAACAGTGGACCGTGCAAGAAAACAGGACTGTGCAAGCTCCCAACTTCAGTCACCGGGTGAGCCAGGAGTTCTTGTCCCGAATGGAAGGGAAACGTCAGCCCATATGCTCAAAGGGATCACGCCTGTAAAATACAACCTGGAGCCATGCGAATTTGACATATCGTTGGTTTGCTGGTTGATCTCATTAGTTAACTCCTCGCCTAGGCGATAATCAGCATTCTCCTGTCTAACTAGTGCTTGAATACATATCTAAGAAGTCTATATCTAATCCCGTCAAGATGATAGCACTTCTAGTTACCTAAGATATCCTACTGTTTGCCAAATGAATGTCCTGATCGTAACACTACAGTCCATACTTATTAAGATTACACCTCAGCACCGAACCGAAAAAGAAAGGAAAAGGAACAATATATCTATAGACTTTCATTTAAAAAGAGGAAAAGGAAAAATTATCAACCAGACTCTGAAGAAACCTACAACCACGAGTGACTACTCCTTTCCAAAGCTCGAGGCTGGACTCAAACGTCCGATGAAGATGAAGGCGGCGGCAAAGTGCCTTCACTCAGGCCTTGAAAATCGTCGGCATACTTCCAAAACTCGACACTACCCCGCTGCCATTTGTCGTTATTGGAAAACGCATCCAAGTACCAGGTGGTCTCAGGGGGGTTATTGAATTCAAAGTCGACGAAGCCGCTACCCAGATAGCCGAACCGGTTGCGACTCCAATACTCAATATCGTAGTCTTGGAGGGCAGGGTGGCGGAGGGCCTCGAAAAAGGCAAGACGAGAGCCGGGCCACATCACAAGATTCCCCGTCTTCGTGCCCAGTTTGAACCAACTGGTACAAGGATCCGCCCACACGGTACGTGGGAGGTACGTGCGTGCGTGCTCCAGGAAGTCTTCCACGGCCGATGCCTTTGGGCTGAGCCGTCGAATATGCTGAGTACGCATGGTCTTGATGATCTCCAGGAAGTGGTTGGTCAACAGAGAGAGAATCGGGAGGACGGACCCTTGCGCCACGGGGGTATAAGGTCCACCATATGTGAAGTAATTCGGGTACCCATCAACTGCGATTCCTAGATAGCTGGAAGGACACTCAGCCCACTTTTCAGCCAACGTCTGCGTGCTATCTAGACCATGGATGGGGAAACGAGGACGGAAAGAAGTGTCAAACCCGGTGGCACAGATAATCACGTCGACAGAGTGCACGGTACCATCTGCATCGACGATGCCAGTCTCGGTGATTGCTTTGATACTTCCTGGCAGCACGGTTGTCTTCCCTCCTGTCAAGGCATTGAAATAGCCATTGTCGGGCGTGGGGCGACGACAGCCAACACTGAAGTCCCGAGGGAGCATGGCCTCCAGGACTTCTGGTTTCGATCTGAGCCTGTTCGTCATCACCCGATACGCATACTGGAAGGCATGTTAATCTTTTGTGGCGGTATAGAATGGTTGGGAGCCATACAGCATTGGATTCATCGGATTCTGCCGTGTCCCGCAACACCGTTCTGAATCGGTTGTTGAGTTCATACTCAATAGTCTTGTGGTATCGATGATATGCCATGCGGTCCCTGGCAAAGAACTCCTTTTGCTCCTCAGTATCTGAATTTCATTAGCGCTGCATCACTTGGTTGTGGGGGAGGCAACGCACAGTCAAAATTATGGCCCTCTTTGGACGCAAACTTCTGCCCTATCGCCGCCGTAATCCAGGTTGGACTTCGCACCCAAGTATACAGCTTTTCAACCTCAGGATAGATAGCGGATACGGTTTGAATCCCAGAACTGCCAGCTCCAATGACGGCGGCCGTTTTCCCTTTGAAAGGATAGTCTTCCTTGAAGTTAGCCGTATGGAAAATATCGCCCTTGAAGGTTTTAATCCCCGGGATATCTGGCCATTTCCATGAGCTATCACATAGTTAGCTCACCAAATCCATACATACTTGAAGAGAGAGCGTGACATACTTGAGGAATCCTCCGCCGTTAAGAAGAAGGTCGCACTCTTCGCTCCATTCTTGGAAAATCTCCTTGTCGCCGGGAACCTCGCGTCGGACTCGTATGCACCATTTGCTACGTTCGTCGTCCCATCTCGCCGACACCAGCTGGCTTTGAAGCTGAATGTACTTCATCATGCCTTCCTCGTCGACGATGTCTCGCATATACTGCCATATCTCTTGTGCAGAAGAATAGAACTTTTTCCACTGGGGGTTGGGTTTCCAGGGAAAGCTATACGAGATACTCGGAACGTCACAAGCACAGCCCGGGTAGCGATTCTCATACCAGGTGCCGCCCACGTCCGGGTTTTTCTCGTAGCACACAATACTCACCCCCAGGCCTTCCAATGCGGATGGCGCATGGTGAAGAAAGTCGATGCCCGCCGCACCGGCCCCAATGACCACAATCCGAAAGGACTTCCCTTGCGGGGGCTCATTGATCATATGGTTGGAGACCACATAACCACGGCTGCTGGGTTGGTCCCATTGCGGGTAATGGACCGGTCTGTCGACGGAGGAAGGGTGCGCTCCCTGGGAATTGCCACCAAGAGCTGCGTCTCCCGATATTCCGTAGGCTTGGAAGATTGGGTTTCGATGACTGTCCTTCATGTCGCCAGCTCGAATGGATGGTTTGGTTAACATTGCAAGGTGTTGAGGATTGAAGTGGTAGGGACCCTCAAATATCAAGACTCACGCACTCTACTTGCGACTCTACTTTGCAGGTGCTTGTTTTCCTTCATAGCGGGTCGGCTTTCTCTTTCACGCGGGGAAAACGATTACTTGGGCATCTCAAATTCCCGAGGGAGTTACTGTCTAGTTCTCGGAAAATCCGCCAATTCTTCACCTCCACCATTCTACGCTCAGTAAAATCTCCCATCCACGTGGGTCTAGTTCCCTCTCTCCCCCCGCCGCGGGTCCCGGGTAGTGTATGATGATGGATCCCTCGTCTAGGGTACCAATTATGTGGCAGCGCTTTCCTAGGAATAAACCAAAACGTCTCCGGGGCGATCGATGCAGCTCTTGTGTTGACATCAAGTACAGACAATCCCGAGGGCCACTCCAGGAAAACCGTCATCAGATGTGTGGTTGGCTCTTCAACGAGGGCGTTTGATATGTGCAT